AACTGCAGTTCAAGTCCCAGACCTGGCAGCTTGTTTTTTCACTTTCTCTCTCTCTCTCTGTCCCTCTCTGGTCAAATTTAATTAAATAAGTAAATATATACATAAATACATATATAAATAAAGCTAAATAAAATAATTCTTTTTAAAAAAAAAAGAAAGAAAAGAAATTGGGACCAGTTGGGACCAGCAATTGGCATAATGGCTATGTCGCTGGACTTCCATGTAGTCAACTGTGGTTCGAGTCCTGGACCCTGTGGCTTAAACTCATGCTGGGCGTGTGTGTGTGAGTGCCCAAGATCCCAGGAGGAGAATGGAGGAGAAGGGATTGCAGCAGAGCCATCCCCCCTGGGGAGTGATTTCTTGCTTTCTGTCTGTCTGTCTGTCTCTGCCTTTCTGGAGAGCACTTGCACCCTGTAGCAAAAACCTCTCCAAGAAAAAAAGAAATTGGGACCAGCAGATGGCGTAATGGCTATGTTGCTGGACTCCCATGTAGTTGACCGTGGTTCAAGTCCCGGAGCTGGTGACTTAAACTCACGCCGGGCATGTGTGCCCAAGATCCCGAGAGGAGAATGGAGAAGGGATTACAATGTGGCCATCCCCTCTGGGGGGTGATTTCTCACTTTCTATCTCTCTGAATCTCTCTGACTTTCTGGCGAGCGCACGCGTCCTATAGCAAAAAACCTCTCCAAAAAAAAAAGAAAGAAAAAGAAATCACTCCCCAGGGGGATGGCCAGGCCACAGTCCTTCACCTTCATTCTCCTCTCAGGATTTCGGGCACACGCGCACAAATTCCCAGTGTGATTTTCAAGCAGCCAGCCAGGTTCATGACTAGAACTGTGGTCGGCCCTATAGGAATCTAGCACCTTACCCACCATGCCACCTGCTAGCCCAGATCTCCTGTGTTTATCTGTAAATGAAAACAGTTTCTACTTTGTGGGGTTGTTGTGAGAATAAGTGAAATGAGTGCTTGATACAAGAAACAATATTCTTTGTGAAACATCATTTAAAATCTGAGCCGTCCTAGCACACTACCACCAAGTCAAACCATAGATGGGGTATTTCAGGTCCGCAGGACACCGAAGCACACACATAAGTATTGTAGCTCCTATTTATGGCCTCCTTGACACCCCAGCACTGGTTGGTGTCGGTTTTCCTGCCATTCAAGTCCACGTGTAGAACTGGGTGGTGTGTTTGGAGATTGGCCTCAAGTGTGGGCAGTTACCTTTGTCTCCACTCAAAATATTTTCAAGAGACTAGTTATCACCAGTCATCATTAGTCTTCCTACCGCTTCTGACAAGATAAAGATGGAAAAAAAGCTGAGACTGAAGTGGAAGTGGAAACATGGCATTTTCCCCTCCCAATTCTGTCCTCAGATATTCCCCCATATCTCTTCCTGAGGCATGGATTTCTGACTCTGCACTTCCAAACTGGGGGTTGGAGGAGTAAAAGGTATTTGTGGGTCCCCCTAACTGAGTCTCTATTTGGAACAGTGAATGGCACAACGGGAGAAGGCCTGTCGCTGAGCATCTCCGAGCGTCGCCAGGTTGCTGAGGAGTGGGTGACCAGAGGGAGGAACAAGTGAGTGACTGGCTACACCGGGTTGAAACAGCCATTGGCAAGGGCCGTGTCGAGTGAGCCTCTTCCACTGACACAGCCTGCCTCCCTGCCTCCAGTCGAGGTCAACTGGGAGGAAGATGAGCCGAGGCCCAGCAGCTCTGGCATTTCCATGAGGAGCATCCTCCCTTTCTGTGTGGAAGGGCAGCCGGACTGCAAGGCACACTCCATTCCCAGAGGTTCCAGCAGAAACTGCTTCTCTTCCATCTCAAAGGCCGCCCCTTAGGGTCACCTGTCCTGGGGCTGACGGGAGGAAAGGGGAAGGCAGTGGGGACTGACTTCTGGACACCAGTTCTTCCGCAGCACCTTCCACTCCTCCTTCTCAGGATGGTGCTCAAGGCTGCACCAGCCCACCTCACAGCTCTTTGCCATGCTTATCCCAGTGTCCTCTTCATGGTGCTTTGGGTGGTGTTGGGGGACTTTGTGCATCCTCTGAACTTCCACGCAGTGATACTTTTTTGTTGTAACATCCCAGTTCATGCCATGGTAAACAGGGCAGCATCAGTTCCAGAAGGACATCCAGTGAACCAAGCTCTAGCTTGTCTGGCCTGTCCTGTCATGACTGTACTAGGCACAGTGGGTTGTTTACTGTCCAGTGGGGATGTCAGATCGCGAAGACTAACACCCTGATCTTTAAGATAAATGCATAAACAGGGAACAAGTGGCAGCACAGCAGTAACTCAACTGGACCCGCACAGCTTGGGTTCATATCCTGGGACCTCCCTGAACACACAGAAAAATCACGTGTATGCCCATGATCTGAGCCAGTTAAGACTAAGGGTGTGCTGCAGTGTGAAGACCCTGTTGGGGAGCCCTCTCTCTTCTTGCCTATCCCAGAAATAAGTAAACTTTTTTTAAAATTATTTATTTCATTAATTTGGCCAGAGAGAGAGAGAAGGAAAGTGAGAAAGTGAGCTGCCAGGTCCGGGACTCAAACTGCAGCCGGCCATGTGAGAGTCCAGTGCCTTAACCACCATGCCACCTGTTGGCTCCTGTAAGTGAACTTTTTTAAAACTGCATAAGCAGAGGGACCAGCAGTTAGCGTAATGGCTATGTTGCTGGACTCCCATGTAGTTGACTGCGGTTCAAGCTCCAGCCCCAGTGACTTAAACTCACGCTGGGTGCGTGTGCGTGCGTGCCCAAGATCCCAAGAGGAGAATGGCGGAGAAGGGATTGTGGTGTGGCCGTACCCCCTGGGGGATGATTTCTCGCTTTCTGTCTCTCTCTGTCTGTCTGGAGAGCACATGCACCCTGTGGCAAAAACCCCTCTCAAAAAAAAAAAAAAAAACTGCATAAGCAGAGACAGTAGAGATTAGTGTTGCTTTAGGTGGACGCATGAGATCGGAGGTAGGTCCCAGGATTGCCTGTAGCACTCAAGTATGAGGCCCATGATCTCCTTGGGGATCCACGGGTGGCCTCAGAGTACCTCAGATACTCTGAAATTCTATGTCAAATTTAAGTACATGTCCACATACGCATTTCCGGTAATTTGTTAGATTTCACTTTATTTTCAGTCAAATCCAGGACCCAAAAAGATTAAAAACCATGGGCAGAGTGAGAAAAGAAGACCAAGGATAAACCTTAGGAAAACCATTAGAAATGTAGAATAAGAAAGTGGTCAGAGGGACCAGCAGTTGGCCTAATGGCTACGTTGCTGGACTCCCATGTAGTCAACCACAGTTCAAGTCCCGGAACCGGTGGCTTAAACTCACACTGGGTGTGTGTGCGCGCATGCCCAAGATCCCAAGAAGAGAATGGAGGAGACGGGATTGTGGTGTGGCCATCCCCCTGGGGGATGATTTCTTGCTTTCTGTCTCCCTGTCTCTCCCTTTCTGGAGAGCACATGCACCCTATCGCAAAAACCTCTCTAAAAAAAAAAGAAGAAGAAAAGAAAAGAAAGTGGTAAGAGACAGAAAGCCCTCAGTGCGGTGGCAGGGTGGGCAGGAGTGCGTCCTGTCACTGAAACCAGAGAAGAGACTAATTTCAGAGCGTGTCAGTGTAGCACAGACTGTAGATTCAAACTGCCTGGGTTTGGGTCCTGGCTCTGCCTCTTATAAGCTCCGAGATCTCAGGCAGGTCACTTAACCTCTCTGTGCTTTATACATAAAATTGGAAAAACCGTCCTTATTTATGAGGTTGTGGTAGTATTCAAAGTGTCTGGCACACAATGTGAAGGACTTCAAGAAGTCCAGGGAAAGTGGAATTAAAGTGGGAGTTAATTTGGTGCCAAAATTGATTTAAAACCCATACTTAGTTTTTTTTCATAGTACACTTTTGTCATGAGCTTTTTTTTTTTTTTTTGATATTTTTGCTATAGGGCACATGCGCTTGCCAGATAGACGAAGAGAGACAAAGAAACAGAAAGCGAGAAATCACCCCCCGGGGGGATGGCCATGCCACAATCCCTTCTCCTCCGTTCTCCTCTTGGGATCTTGGGCACGCACCCACACGCGCCCAGCAGTGAGTTTAAGCCACTGGGTCCGGGTTGCGAACCATGGTCGACTACATGAGAGTCCAGTGACATAGCTGTTACGCTAACTGCTGGTCACTTGCCATAAACTTTTTGAAGACACCTTATATTATATACTATATAAGGACTTGTTGCAACTTTTTGCAGTGGATGCTGGGTCCATCACAACACGTGTAATTATTGGGTCCCGTGAAGGTCAGTGGATAGAAGACTGAGAGGACCACTGGGTTTGACCTTTGGTGACATGCCAACTGCTGTTCCCATTTTTTTTTTTTTTTTCTTAAAGTGGGAGGAAAGCCAACTGCTGGTCCCATTTTTTTTTTTTTTCCTTAAAGTGGGGCCAGGTCTTGGGACCAGCAGTTGGCATAACAGCTATGTTGCTGGATTCCCATATAGTTGACTGCAATTCGAGTCCCGGACCCGGTGGCTTAAACTCATGCCGGGCGCGTGTGCATGCGTGCCCAGGCTCACAAGAGGTTAAGGGAGGAGAAGGGATTGTGGCGTGGCCATCCCCCCGACGGGTGATTTCTCGCTTTCTGTCTCTCTGTCTCTCTCCATCTTTCTGGCAAGCACACGCGTCCTATAGCAAAAACTTCTCCAAAAAAAAAAAGAAAGCTTCTTTTTCTTGGACATCTGCACAGAACTAGGAGTTGGTTGACATTTACAGCATGACAAGAATAGCCAAGAACCCTGCAAAGTTTAGGAAAGAGAAGGGGAGTTGTGCTTTTTGGGGCCTCTGTCTACTGAAGTGGGAAATTACTAGGAAGTTTGTACTGAAGTGTAGCAGTGTTTTTTTCTTGTTGCCCAGCAACCCAGGAAGGATTAGAGAGGTGAATGGATGTTGATTTAACCTAAGCCAGGAGAAAGGGGTAGTGGGAGAGTTAAGGGGGTTTTGCCACAGAGCTGCTGGTGCAGGTTGGTCAGCCTTTCTCCATTCAGGGCTCTTCTATTATCTTTTAAAATTGCAAGCCTGGGGCCCAGCAGTTGGCATAATGACCATGTCGCTGGATTCCCATATAGTCGACTGCAGTTCAAATCCCAGACCTGGTGGTGTAAACCCACACTGGGCATGTGTGCATCCATGCCCAAGATGCTGAGAAAAGAATGGAGGAGAAGCGATTGTGGCATGGCCATTCCCCCTGGGGGGGCGATTTCTCGCTTTCTGTCTCTCTGTCTCTCTGGCAAGCGCACACGCCCTATAGCAAAAACCTCTCCAAAAAAAAAAAGAAAGAACAAAAAACATGCTTAATCAAAGTAATTATCCAAGTTTGATTAATCAGATATTGCTATTTTGCTGTTGGATTGAATCTTAAATTTTGTTCCCTGACCAGCCCATGGCCTGATGGTTAAGGGAGCAGGATCCCACATGGCCAACTGCAGTTTGAATCCCAGACACGGTGACTTGAAAGCATATGCCACACATGTGAGTGTGTGTGCTCAAAATCCCAAAAAGTGAGAGAAATGGAGAAGGAACTGAATCGTGACCACTCCCCTTTGGATAGTGCATTCTCCCTCTCCCTCTCTCTGTGTCTCTCAGGCAAGCACATGCTCCCTTTGGCAATTAAAACAAATGTTTCTTAAAGATCACGGTAAGGACTGGATGGTGGTACAGGAGTAAAATGTGATACTCTGCGAGACTGAACCAAATATGTGAGGGTCCAGGTTGGTGTCTAGAGACCTCTTTGAGTACGTCAAACATGCATGCTCCTTTGATCAGGGGCTGACTAGGGATTGGGCATCAAGACTCTGTGGGGGTGCTGTTTGTCACTTTGTCATGTGCACTCGCAAAATAAGGGAAAAAAGACCACCATAAACCTTTTTAATTAGGTCGATTTTAAAATAGATCCATAGAACTCAGTAGTCTTCAGATTAACATTAATAACACATTAGCGGTGGGACTGGCATGTGGCATGGTGGCCAGAGGTGCTGGATTCTCACATGGCCAACCATGGTTCGAGTCCTGGACCTGGTGGCTTGCTTTCTCATTTTCCATCTCTCTCGCTCTCTCTCATTCTGTACCTCTCTGGTCAAAATTAATTAAATAAATTAAATTAATTATTTAAAATAAAAATAACACATTAGCGGGGTTGGCAGGTGGCATGGTAGTTAAAGGTGCTGAGCTCCCACAGGGCCGACTGCTGTTCAAGTCCCAGACCTGGCGGCTTACTTTCTCACTTTCTCTCTTTCTTTCTCTCTCTCTCTCTCTCCTTCTCTCCCTCTCTGGTCAAAATAAAATAAATAAATAAAGTTAAATAAAATAGTTCTTAAAAAAAAAAAAACTCATTAGCTAAAACCAGGGTGTTGCAGCATTTCTGCGCTCTAGCACTGAACTTTAAGAGACACAGCGGTGCTTTCTCTTCTGCAGGTTGGATCACGTGGTGATTCACGTTGGAGCACTGAGTTTGAAGGAGTCACAAGAGCTGGTATGTTTTTAGATTCCTCTGAGAAAGACCATACAAAGGCCTTCAATTTTATGCTCAAGTTAAAATCGTACCATATTTGCTGTGCTGGAGAAGATAAGATGTGGGACCTTCGGAAGCCCGTTTAGAAGCAGGCACTGAGCCATAAAGAAAGGACCATAGTCCAGGATGATGACTACTGTGGGGCAGGAGGCAGTCACCTTCCTCAAAGAAAGCGTGAATGGGTGTAGCTGCGCCAAGTTTGTAGGCAGTAGCTGACCTCATGCCAGTGTCCGTTTTCTCTGGCCATCTGCTGGACAAAGGAGAAGGCAGGGGAAAGGCTTGAAGTGGCAAACATGAGTTGCTGCCTTGGAGAATGGGAGAGAGAGCCAAAACAAAAGGTTTGCCCAGCAGTGCTGAAAACCAGCTAAGGCTGTAAGTAATAGATTGTTATACTGGGCCGGCAGATGGAGTAGAGGTTAAGGCAGCTAGACCCCACATGACTGACTACGTGGTTTGAGTCCCACACCCACCAGCTTGAAAAACATGCCAGGCATGTGTGCGTGCATGTGTGCCCAAAATTCTGAGAGAAGAATGGAGAAGAAGGTATTAGAGCATGGCCACTTCCCTGGAAGGTGCTTTTTCACTTTCTTTTTTTTCTTTTTCTCTGTCTCTATCTCTGGCGAGCACATGCACCCTATTAAAAATACTTTTTTTTTTTTTTTTGTTATACTACCATTAAGCATAATTGGGGATTTTTTTTTTTCCTAGGCATGTATTTCAGCCAGAACTAGGAACAAGAATGTAGGCAATTATGGGACCAGCAGTTGGTGTAATGGCTATGTCCCTGAACTCCCAAGTAGTCAACCGCAGTTCGAGTCCAGGACCCAGTGGCTGAAATTCACGCCGGGAGCATGTGCGTGTGTGCCCAAGATCCTGAGTGGAGAATGGAGAAGGGATTGCAGTGTGGCCATCCCCCCTGGAGAGTGATTTCTCGCTTTCTGCCTCTATCTCTCTCTGTCTTTCTGGAGCGCACACACCCTATAGAAAAAAACTCTCAAAAAAAAAAAAAGAATGTAGGCAATTATATTGGTATAGGTTTAGGGATTAGCAAAGCAAGTAGAACAAAAGGCAAGAGAGAAAGGAGCGAAAATTGCTGATAGAAAAGTAGATGACTTTTTTGATACTGGTGGTTTTGAGCATGGGTGAAGCAGCTAAGAAAGAAAAGCATAAAGATGTTTAAAATTGTTACCAGAAGGCCTAGTGCCTGAACTGCTATAAATTAACCATGTTTCTGGAGCTTAAATAATTAATCCCAAAGATTATCATGACTTGATCTAGCCTAATGTCTTTATGGTTTTATTTGGTTGTTTTTCCTATTAGTTAGATTGAGAAATGGGATGTGTCATATATATTTGCAGAATCGCACATCAATGCTCTTTTCAAAGGAGAAGATGTAGTTTTAGACTTAATAAGCCTGGACTTAGAGCTTGGAGACTTCACTTATTCTTCTTAGATGTGATTTGCTCCACCTGTGAAAGGTCTTTCAACTAAGGTAGCATGGCGTAGGGAGTCTTTTTTCTCTTCCTTCTCTTTTCTATTGCTTTCTTTCCCGAGGTATAATTTAAATTTTAAAATATTGTCATGTCACGATATGGATATGAAAGACAATGTCACCCATCAAGCTGAACACTAGGACGGTACAGAGATAGTCCTCGGGTGGGGATGATCTCCGGGTATAAAGATAATCGTCTGCATAGTGGTAGTCTTGCCAAAGAGACAAGAACATTGACATCTGCCTAGCTGTAACTCTCAATTGTAGGCACTGCCGTCAACTCTCTCAGATGTTCTTTTTCTAACCTTCAAGAACGTTCCCCTTCTGCACATTTCCTAAACAGAGCACTAAACGAATGATTCCAATATGAGCCATTTCAATCCTGTGTTAGTGAAATTATACTTAATGTCTTGACTGATCTTTGGGCCCAGTCTTCTGCGAAAAGTTCATCTCATCTCTTAGCTATAGATTAGAAGCCAAAGTCTTAAATGGGAAGACTCTCTCCTTTTAGGGAATGGGGCATGTTTTGAAACCATCAGCAAACATCTCCTGAGTCACCGCTATGTAGACAGAGTCATGATGGACCCGAATGCAAGGGTGAATATGGTCTCACCCCTGCTCTCCGAGGACTCGCACTGTGGTTAGAGGACGGTCCCCCTGCACAGCTGTTTTACAGGGTTGTGGGTTTATAGTCTCTACTTGAAATAATAAATAAATAAACAAAAGCAGTTATGAGGACACAGCTAAAGGAGATGTTCATTTTTTCTGGGAGAACTTGAGAAAACATCAAAAGCAAAGTATTTCCTGTGATGTGTTCTTTTATCTCTCAACCTATTTCAACCGCATTCCTAATCCATAATATAGATTCTCTCTCTCTCTTTTTTTTAATAGCCAGGTGGTGAATGTGCTTATCAGAGAGAGAGAAGGAAAGGGAGAAAGTACCCCGCTGGGCTGTGGTCATGCTGGAATCTCCTCTCCAACATTTATCTATCCTGTTGGTATTTGGGGCACACACACAGACGTGCCCAACATGTTTTTCAAGCCTCTAAGGCTGGGATTTAAGCCACATTCTGTCCTGTGGGAGCCAGTGTCCATAACCACCAGGCTATGGGACCAGCCCCTGTAATATATTTGAGATTCTAAAGTATGACTATCATGTCACTGGACAGAAAAGAAAGTACTAGAACATCAGAAGAGAAATTACACCTGTAGATTTCCCTATTTTTTAAAGAATTATTTTATTTAACTTTATTTATCCATTTAGTTATTTTAATTTGACCAGAGAGTGATAGTGTGTGTGTGTGTGTGTGTGTGTGTGAGAGAGAGAGAGAGAGAGAGAGAGAGAGAGAGAGAGAGGCGCGAGCTCTCTCTCTCTTTTTTTTAATAGCCAGGTGGTGAATGTGCTTATCAGAGAGAGAGAAGGAAAGGGAGAAAGTACCCCGCTGGGCTGTGGTCATGCTGGAATCTCCTCTCCAACATTTATCTATCCTGTTGGTATTTGGGGCACACACACAGACGTGCCCAACATGTTTTTCAAGCCTCTAAGGCTGGGATTTAAGCCACATTCTGTCCTGTGGGAGCCAGTGTCCATAACCACCAGGCTATGGGACCAGCCCCTGTAATATATTTGAGATTCTAAAGTATGACTATCATGTCACTGGACAGAAAAGAAAGTACTAGAACATCAGAAGAGAAATTACACCTGTAGATTTCCCTATTTTTTAAAGAATTATTTTATTTAACTTTATTTATCCATTTAGTTATTTTAATTTGACCAGAGAGTGAGTGTGTGTGTGTGTGTGTGTGTGTGAGAGAGAGAGAGAGAGAGAGAGAGAAAGCCACCAGATCTGAGACTTGAACCACATTCAGCCATGTGGGAGTTCAGTACCCTTAACTACCATGCCACTTGCTTGCAGGTTTCTCTATTAACAGTGAAAACTTACAAAATGAAGTGTGCATGTCTCCTTAGCAAGGTTCTTTGATGCTGACAAAATCCAAAGTGTAAGATGAAGTGCACAGCTCACCTCTACCAGAGCTCTCTACTTTGCAATCTGGGATTTTCCTGGCCATTTACCACTAACTTTGGTTTATTTTTCCATTCACCGCTGGTTCATCAGTTGGCAATTTTTCTTTAAGTTTGTTGCCATAGGGCACATTTGCTTACTGGAGAGAGACAAAGAGATAGTGAAGGGAAAGTGAAATCATCCCCAGGGGGGCCATGCCTCAATCTCTGCTTCTCCATTCTCCCCTGGGATTTTGGACACATACACACATGTGCCCAGTGTGATTTTCAAGCCACCGGCCCAGGACTCATACTGCAAATGGCGGCGTAGGAGTCCACCACCTTAACCATCACGCCACCTCTGGGCCCTCAGTTGGCAAATTTGAAGACATTGTTACTGACCTCTAGTGTTTGGACTGCAAGTGACTATAAAGGATTTACTCCAGTCTGCTCTTCTTTTAAAGGCCCGCCATGCCGCTGAAATAGGAGCTGATGGCATTGCTGCCATTGCACCTTTCTTTCTCAAGCCGTGGAACAAAGGTAAATAGATAGGTCTAAATGCACAGCGCCTCTGTTCAAAGTGGTCATATTTTATTCATGAAAGTAAAGTCCCATAGGTGGAAGCATGAAGTTGTTACAGTTCAGTGGTTCTCTGGAATATTCATTCTCCTGGATCCATAAAAGTGACTACATTGGGGCCAGCAGGTGGTGTGGTGATTAAGGTGCTGGATACTCCCACATGGCCACAGGTTTGAGTCCCAGACCTGGTGGCTTGCTTTCTCACTTTCCTTATCTGTGTGTGTGTTTCTCTCTGATCAAATGAAAATAAGTGAATGATTAAATAAAATTAAATAATTCTTTAAAAAAAAAAAAGTGACTACATTAGGCTAGCCACAGTAGCACAGCAGTAATGCAACATTCCACAATGCTGAGGCCATATGGGAAGGTCCCAGGTTCATATTTCAAGGTCTCCCTGTGCAGGCTGGATGCATGCATGTGCCCATGAACCAGGCTGGCCAAAGCTGGGGGTTGGGTCACCTTGCGAAGAGTCTGCTGGGAATGCCTGTCTTTCTTCCTTTCTCTCTCTCTCTCTCTCTCTCTATGTGCATGTGTGTCTCTTTCTGTCTCCTTTTCTCATGAAAGAAATAAATATACTTGAAAAAAAAAGAGAGAGAGAGTGAGATCACGTTGAAGCTCTTCAGCTTTTTATTTTATTTTTTTTTTTTTGAGAGTTTTTCGCTATAGGGCGCATGTGCTCGCCATACAGACAGACAGAACCATAGAGACAGAAAGCAAGAAATCACCCCCCAGGGGGGATGGTCACGCCGCAATCCCTTCTCCTCCATTCTCCTCTCGGGATCTTGGGCACACACGCACACGCGCCCAGCGTGAGTTCTAAGCCATGGGTCCGGGACGAAAACCGTGGTCAACTACGTGGGAATCCAGCAACATAGCCATTACACTAACTGCTGGTTCCCGTGCTTTTTAAATTTCTTTTGGAGAGGTTTTTGCTATAGGGCGCGTGCGCTCGCCAGAGAGACAGAGAGATAGAGATAGATAGAAAGCAAGAAATCACCCCCCAGAGGGGATGGCCACGCCACAATCCCTTCTCCTCCATTCTCCTCTCGGGATCTTGGGCACGCATGCACACGTGCCCGGCATGAGTTTAAGCCACCGGGTCCGAGACTCAAACCGCAGTCAACTACATGGGAGTCCAGCAACATAGCCATTATGCTAACTGCTGGTCCCGCAGCTTTTTTTGCCAAGTAATGTGATGGGTCCCCATCTGAGCCCTCTGTCACGCTGTTGGTCCTGTCAGCTGTGTAGATCTCAGAGTCATATGGCAGGGCATGAGCCATTTTTCTCTGAAGAGGAATGTAAGTGATGGGTATTTGGAGACTTCACATCCTGTTCAGGTTGAAAGTATGATAGATTTGAAAATTCATTTGACAGAAATATCCAGTCTTGCAAGGGACCAGCAGTTAGCATAATGGCTATGTCACTGGACTCCCACGTAGTCAACCGCGGTTCGAGTCTCGGACCTGGTGACTTAAACTCAAGCGGCGTGTGTGCGTGTGTGCCCAAGATGCCAGAGGATAATGGAGGAGAAGGGATTGTGGCATGGCCATCCCCCCTGGGGAGTGATTTCTCGCTTTCTATCTCTCTGTCTCTCTCTCTCTGTCTGGCAAGCGCACGTGCCCTATAGCGAAAAAAACTCTCAAAAATAATTATGCTTGGGGCTGGCAGGTGGTGTGGTGGTTAAGGGATCTTGGGATCTTGGGCACGCACACACACACGCCCGGCATGAGTTTTAAGCCACCGTAGTCGACTATGTGGGAGTCCAGCGACATAGCCATTACACTAACTGCTGGTTCCCCAGCATAAGTTTTCTAATAGTAGTTTAGTATGGCAGGGAAATAATCATCTTTTGGCCTTTGTACAGAGAGGAAAATGAATGGGATGAGTTGTAAGACATTGTATTAGCAATATCAGGGATGGTAAGAATGGCAAAAATTTTGACTTCTAAGGATGATTGCATTTCATCAGGTGATTCATTTTTTACCAAGGATAGTCACTGCATTGCCCTTGTTCACACCATTATTTTCCTGCTGTTCTTTCAGATGTCCTGATTAATTTCCTAAAGGAGGTAGCTGCTGCTGCCCCTGCATTGCCATTTTATTACTATCATATTCCAGCCTTGACAGGGGTAAAGAGTAAGTATTTGTTCTTGTGAGATTTTTTTCCTCCCAGCTCACATCTTACCCTTCTTTGCTGGAAAAATAAACAAACAAACCATCCTACCTCACAGAACACCATAGAAACACAATATCATTAACTAGGCAGTTCCAATTGCTCTGAAATACGTCACTCTCATATTCCAACCCTTATCAGTTATTCACACCACCCCATAATTGAAGTTCTGAAACATAAAATAAGAGTTGACCCAAGACACTTGCAGTAGACACCAGTGTCTCTGTCACATTATCCCTACTTAAGACACAGACTGTCAGCCTTCCAGGATAGGACTATATTTACCTTGCAACTCCTGTATCCTCAGTGCCTATATGCCCAAAGTACTTTGCTCTCTTCTGTTTTCTTCTAGCTTTTCTTTTACTATTATTCTATTTCTCCAGTGAGATTTTTATAATTAGATGAAATTTCTTAGGAGATTATATTTTAAATCTCATTCTTTCCTAAATCCTATTAAAAAAGAAAGTGGAGACTGTTTTTAAATATTCCCAGGAAGAACAATGTTTTTCCTACTTTCTATTCTCACTGTTACTGCTCAACACAAAAGTCTTCATGACTGATCACCAAAATGTGTATGGGGATTTACAGTTCAATTCTGACATTATCTACCTGGAGATAGCATCAGATTTCACAGGTTGAGGCTCAGTCCCACAAGAATGCACCCACTTCAGATGCCAGCGACCCATGCTTCTGACAAGTGGCTATAAATTGGGGTTTCCACGACCCCCTCCTCAAGTACAATTAATGTACTAGTATGGTTCACACAACTCAGGGGAAACACTTTACTTACTATTGTCTGTTTTTTAGAAAGGATATTACAAAGAATATAGATGAACAGCCCAGTGATAAGATGCATAGGGCAGTATCTGGGAGAAGGTACATGGAGCTTCTGTGCCCTCTCAGTACACTGCTCTCCAGGCAACTCTTGTGTTCAACAGTCCAGAAGCTCTCCAAACCCATTCTCTTGGGTTTTCATGGAGGCATCACTATGTGAGCTGATTGGTTATATCATTGACTACTGGTAATCAATTCAACCTTCAGCCCTCCCCTCTCCCACAGGTCATGGGGTGGAGCTGAAAGTCCCAACCCTCTAATCTCATGGTTGGTTCCCTTGGTAACTGACCCCCATCCTGAGGCTGTCCAGGAGCTCACCAAGTGTCACCTCATTAGAAGGAAATTTTAAGGGACTCAGGAACTCTGTGTCAGAAGCTCTTAGAAGTTACGAAGGTCTTAGGCGCTCTGTGTCAGAAACTAGGGTCGAGACCAAGTATTAGAATGAAATATAAGTGTTTTAAGAGCTCTGGCTCTGAAACTGAAGCCAGAGACCAAATATATATTCACAATATCACAAATATCCACCTACTGTCTTGAAGGAATGGAAAGTTTAAGATGGTACTTTGATAAGCACATGGGTGCTGGGAGGCAAGGGTAAGTGACTGCCCAGTAGGCAGTTAGTTCCAGCTCAGAATAGCCTGCAGCTGCTCAATGCAGATGTGTGGGCCATGTGAGACATTGTTCCCATTTCCGAGTGGTATGCTGATTAATGAGGCATTTACCGTTTTGGGCGTTTCAGGCAGTTCGTGCTGAGGAGTTGTTGGATGGGATTCAGGATAAGATCCCCACCTTCCGAGGGCTGAAATTCAGTGACCAAGATCTCTTAGACTTCGGACAGTGTGTCGATCAGAATCGCCAACAACAGTTTGCTTTCCTTTTTGGAGTGGATGAGGTAAGTCACCCCTGGCATACTCCATTATGTGCTGTTTACATAATAGCATCTCTTTTTTTATTTTTTCATTTTCATAAAAATATTCTTTGTTTATTTCCAATTAGCAACTGTTGAGTGCTCTAGTGATGGGAGCAACGGGAGCAGTGGGCAGGTAAGCTTGACTCATTTCTCCCAGTGATTATAAATTTAAAGTCCCCCATAAAGGCATTCATCACTGGAATAGTTATACTTCTTACATGTATATCCATTCTTTTCTTTTAAAGAATTACTTTATTTAACTTTAATTATTTATTTATCTAGTTTAATTTGACCAGAGAGGGACAGAGTAAGAGAGAGTGAGAACAGGGAGTGGGGGCAGTGAGAAAGCAAACCGCCAGGTCCGGGACTCAAACCATGGTCGGTTGTGTGGGAGTCCAGCACCCCCAACCACCATGCCACCTGCCAGCCCCTTTTTCTTTTCTTTTTAAGTTTATTTCCTTATTTCTCCATGAAAGAGAGACAGCAAGGCCACCCCAACAGGGTCATCACACTGTAATTTACCCCTAGTCTCAGCTGGTCCAAATCACAGACACACACATATGTGCTATATGTGCTCAGAGAGGTCCCAGGAAACAGACCCAGGACCCTTTCAACGTGGGTCCAGTTGTGTTGTTGTTATGCCAACTGCCTGGCCATGTTCCTCCTTTCTAATAGAAGTTGCCTTTCTTCCCCACATTCTTTCAGTGATAGGGAATTCATTAAAGAGGGCTTAGCAATTTGTTAGAAATTCAGTCATTGTTTTTCTTTATTTAACTTTATTGATTTATCAATTTATTTTAATTTGACCAGAGAGGGATGGGGTCAAGGGGAGAGTGAGAGAGCAAGCCACCAAGTCCAGGACTCAAACTGTGGTCGGCTATGTGGGAGTCCAGCACCCTTAACCACCGTGCCACCTGCTGGGCCCCTCAGTCATTGTTATTTACAAGCACCTATTGCAGTTAGACGTGAGACACGTCAGTTGAGTGAAAACACAGGAGCTGTAATTTAGCAGGATCTGGCCCTTAGCTCTACAGACCCTGGTGATCAGTGTCTCATGGGTGAACTCCTGCGGTTTTTGTCAGAAAACTGATTACAAATAACAGAAACCCATTCAAACTATTAATAACTTACGTAAATGAAAGTTATGGGCTAGCTCCATAGCATAGTAGTTATGGGAGCTAGATACCACATGGGAAATCATGGTTCAAATTCTAGTCCTCTTCCATCTCCCCGGTAGCTTGAAAAACACCCTGGGTGCATGCGTTTACTGCCTAAAATCCTGATGGGGTGGAGAGATAGGGGAGAAGGGATCATGGTATGATCACACCTCATTGGGTGGTGCCTTCTCCATCTCACTCTCTCTGTCTTTGTCCCTCTGTCTCTCTCTGGCAATTGCCCCTTAGCAATTAAAAGGAAAAAAAGTTATTATAAAATACTCGGAAATTACATAAAATCCAAGAGGAGGAAGTGCAACCAGTGTGGTTTGTTTGTTTGTTTATTTTTGGAGAGGTTTTTGCTATAGGGCGCATGCACTCGCCAGAAAGACAGAGAGAGACAAAGAGACAGAAAGCAAGAAAGCACCCCCCAGGGGGGGATGGCCACACCGCAATCCCTTCTCTCGGGATCTTGGGCACACACTCACACGTGCCCGGCGTGAGTTTAAGCCACCAAGTCCAGGACACAAACCGCAGTTGACTACATGGAGTCCAGCGACATAGCCATTAAGCTAACTGCTGGTCCCTTCTTTTTTTTTTTTTTTTTTAAGAATTATTTTAACTTTATTTAATTAATTTTAATTTTAATTTGACCAGAGAAAGCAAGCTGCAGTCCGGGACCCAAACCACGATCAGCCATGTGGGATGTGTGTACACAGAATCCTTAATCACCACGCCCCCTACCGACCCCTTGTTTATTTGTTTGTTTGTTTTTTTAATGACAGGGCATAGGCCAGAAAGAGGAGAGAGTGAAAGCACCCCAGTGGGCTGTGGTCATGCCACAAACCCTTCTTCTCTAATTCTTCATCCCGTCAGAATCTTGGGCACGCCAAGTATGTTTCTCAAGTTGGATTTCTCACTTTCTGTCTCTCTGCCTCTCTCTGTCTGTCTGTCTGGCGAGTGCAAGCGCCCTATAGCAAAAACCTCTTAAAAAAAAATTTTTTTTTTGAGCATGCGCACACACACACGCCTGGCTTGAGTTTTAAGCCGCCAGGTCTGGGACTGAAACTGTGGTTGACTATGTGGGAATCTAGCCAAGTAACCATTATGCCATCTTCTGGTCCCTCTCCAATTTTTCTTTTTCTTTTTTTTTTTTTTTTTTAAGAATTATTTTAGGAACAAG